CAGCCAGTCCCTCGCAGCGCTCTTGATGTTGATGGCCCGAAGCAAAGTGATTTTTGAGGCATAGAGCGGGGGAAAGAAACCCCCTCCCCCGATAGGAATATTTCCTCTAACCCTTTCTCCGGATGCATGATTTTTTTCGCCAATATGTAGACGCCTCCCAGTAAGAAATTCCTTGTCATGATGATAGATGCAGCCTACCGAAAGAGCTCTTTTATATGCCTCTATCTATACATATGTCGGGAATAATGTTGTCAGTCTGTGCGTCATAGAAGAGCGATATAACTATGAGGAAAACTTGATTTAGACGTAAATGTTTCATTGGTCGTCCAGAGAGAAAGTTTACCTGTTCAGTATCTCCTGAACTAAGATAAGTAGAGAAATGCGAGAAAAAAATTAAAAAACCACCACCCTCAGCTTTCTAACCTGCAATTGAAAAAATATGGTCGGTGATTCGATGGACGCCATATTTTGTGTCAAAACTGCATGCGATATATCACATCGATTGGCTCATTCTTTCAGCCACTCGTCATTCTTCTCGGATTTTGCGATCACAATTCTGTTGTCAGGAGACTAAAGAATTTTTCACCGATTTTGACAACAAATTTAACGTAATAAAGGCGTGGTTTTTTTAGAGGAAAAATATCGCATTCGATACTGATATCGAAACTGCACTCGAGTGCCAGATTTTCTCTCTAAAAAAACCACGCCTATAATACGTTGAATTTGTTAGTCAAAATTGGTCAGTGAATTCTTTAGTCTCTTGACAACAGAATTGCGATCTCAAATTTTGAGAAAAATGACAAGTTGCTGAAATTATGGAACAAATCGATGCGATATATTGCACGTTGCTCTGACACAAAAAATGGCCTCCATCGAGATCTTCAGTTCTTGAAAGTATTTGCGAAAAAATTCTGTAAAAACATTGTCCGAAGGTACACGAGTTTTTCTGCTATGATTCATTGGTTCCAAAAATCATAAAATGGCGTTAACGGTGTTTTTGCATTGCACGGCAGTATTTTAAAGACAGTCCTTCGCACATTTGCCAAAATATTGCAGCAGAGCGTTGCGAATCGACAACTTTGGAAATTCCTACCATGGTTCATAGGATAAAAGAACCTATCAAACCGTTCGAGAATGACAGACCTTTTTTACTCCCCCGCGGGCAAAAATGACACACATTTTACCATCAGCCTTGGATTTGGGCGGCCGACGGCATCATGTGGATCGGGTACACCGAAACTGTTTTGCGCCCGGAGCGCTGAGCCGTTCTTTGAATCATTTCAGCGGGATATTCTTTCAATATCTTCTCCAGAGTAGTTTTTTCTCTTAGAGTAATGGCCTCAGTCCGGCTTCGTAACGGATATCACGTCGACGAGGAAGAGGAGAGTGATTCTATCTTGTGACTCATGGTGCCGATAAATGTTCCCACCCTTTTTGGGGACTGTGAACTGCGCGCGAATGAAGGATTGGAAAGCGCGGTACGTTTCTTTACGTATAAATCATCGAGTTTATGAGCCAGACGTTTCGAATGTAATATTTTACATTTCCAACGTGCGTTATTGGTTCAGCTCAATCTTGCTTGAAGGAATTTCAGTATCAGCGCAACGGGTCGACGCAATGATAAATATCGTGCGATAAATGAATGGTCCCTTTTCGTTTTTTTATTTATTTATTTTCCGTTTCAGCACTGTTGCGTTGGGTTTTTATAGAAAACTCACTACCAGCGTGCGTGTGCCAAGTACATGCGTGCTACTCGCTACTGGTTGAGCAGTTTTCAGCGAAAAAAAAGGAGTGTATTGTGAAATAGAACGCCCGTTAGTTGATTTGCCAAAAAAAAAAAAAAAAAAAAAAAAAAAAAAAACATGCAGCTTCAACACATCGGTGTGAAAGAGCACGCCCATATCAAGGTCTATGTAAGATGAGGGTAAAAAACTTTTGAAAATTAATACATATCTTAATTGCAGGGATAAACACTGTTGGTAAAGACAAAGTAGCAGTTTAAGCCACGTCCGCCATCTTAAAAATTCGAGTCTCCCGTCAAAAAATACCCGCTATCAAAGAGACTCGCAATAATCGATTGGAAAGGAGCCGAGATAGCCCACATTAATAATGATAATTCTTTTAATTCAAACAGTTGAGGCTAAACATTTTAGTATCTGGCAATTATGGGCGTGAAATATGCACAGTAACTTGAAATACAGCAGGTAACAGGTTGACATGCCTTATTTGGTTGAGGAATTTACTTGAGTTAGGTTCTAACCTAAGAATACAACTATTTAAACTTTGGTGTGTTGCACAGTATCACGCGCATTTGAAGGCGTTTTATATTGGTCCGACCGTGACCTACGGAGAGTAGAGTCTTGAGGTGTTACCTTTGAGGGTGGTTTGCGCAGCATACGTCGATTGCAAAATAATGAGTAATTTTCATTTATTAGTGTTACAAAGAGCCCAAGATGAAATTTTTCGTTGAGATAAAGTATTCAACTTTATTTTAAACAAATTTTGAAAGTCTGAATTTTTCATGCCGTAAGGTTTTTTCTTCCATGCCAACACAAGCACAAAACCAAAAATATGAGCCTACCTAAGGGCGAATTAAGGTAAAATGGAGTGGTTGATAGGCAAATGAACACGTAGTACTCGTTCTCTACAATGAAAGCAACCGAAAACGGAAATGTTCAAATCACAAGTTAGTCTATAGATTCCAAAAAAACCACCCACCGGTTGCGACCTCGGAGCTCATAAATTATAATTATAGAATCCGGTTATTTTCCGATTCTAAATCACGGTCGTTAAATTTTGGCAATGATGTAAGGCGAAGAGGACATGTGTCATCCATAGGAATGAGTAAGTATATGGCTTGAGCGTCGCGTCGTACAATTTCCACTCGGCCGAGTTTGAACTCCGAGCTCCCCGGTTTTATGGTTGACAAGAAAAAGAGCTTTAGTTGATGAACCTCATCAGATTCACCGCCATTGTGAGAACGTGGAAAGAAGCAGTTTCCTAAATTGAACCCTCTACAGTCCCGAAAGATTGTTTTATTGCTTGATAGCTTTAATAGACCCAACTCCTATAAATTGATTAAATTTCTGCTGTTTTTTACTCGCTGCTTTTGTTTGAAATCCGAGAGCTTATCATATTAATTTAATTTGACATCTAATTATGTGGGTGGCTGGAACGGAGCAAATAATAAATATTCCTCTCAAAATAAGTTCTCAGACCTGTATCGTGAAATTTTAGAGTTAGGGTATTCCCTTGAAGCAATAATCTTTGATCCCAGGACAACTAAAAACTTTCCTAGTAACTTTTTTCTTCTCTCTTGAAATTGTGCGAATAAATAATTGAAACTATAGTTTTAGATTGTTGAGAAAAAATTAGACCGTAGCGGGGTGATTGTTGAAATTGATAGACAAAGCAAAAGACAAAGAATACATGAACAGTATGGAGCGATCCTATTGGTTGAAATGGGTGGCTCTTATTTACTAAAAGAGTAAATGGTAGACTAACTATCCGGTCTCTCGTGTGGTTGCTTTCTTTCTCCATTATACAGCCACCCACTCCCACCAATAGAATCCCTCCGTGTCCTTTTTGTCCATAATTTTGTCTATCAATTTCAACAATTAGCCCGCAGACCAATATGTGATTCTATAGTCTGATATGACCGAAGGTGTATATGAAAAGTTTTAGCAAATGTTTTATTGTACACTCTGCCAGTTGTTAAAGCAACGCCAACAGATTTGGATCCGTCTTTTAAAATACGGATTTCTCGTATAACCAATAAACGAGAAAAACCAAATAATGAAGTAAAACGAAAGTTTCACAACTTCCTTCAACGGTCAGTGCCCTGAGGACTAAGTATACACAAACAGAGAGGAAACGAAACTTGTTGTTTGCAAGAGTTCAAATCGGTGCAGTGTAATAAAACTTGTCGCAGCTGGCTGTGAGAGCACAACGCTGAGTCTCTTCCAATTTCTAAAATAGCATGAAAGGAAATTAAATGATCAGCGCTCTGAGTTACGGAAGGCTGGATTTTTTAATAAATGTAAACAGAGCCAGTATTAATAAATTTTAAATTTTTTATCACATGTAACGTAAAATGGGTGCGATATTACTTTGACAGCGTATAAGACTTAACGATAAAATGTCTTTCTTTTTTATTGTGATTGGGTTGTATTCTTTTCCCTCCTTACAACTGAAAACAACAAAATATCCGAAATGATGGGTAATAACAATTCGATATGTATCCGACGTAATTTGTTAATATATTCAGTAGAACGACGACTGCTTCTTAACGTTTCCTTGTTTCAGTGATTGCAATAAAAGACAAGAAATGAAACAGTGAAAATTTATCACATTGCCTATCCTACTCCACGTAAAAAAAATTCAATTTTAAAATCAGCTGCTTCTTTTTTTTAATCTTCACGTGCCGAGTTGTCATTTGATTTCTTCCAAAAATACGTTGAATCAAATTTTTCATAATCTGAATATCGAGGGAAATGTACTTTCATAAATGATTATTCAAAATGAGAATCATCATATTTTACTGAAAGTCTCAATTTTTTGTTTCAGATACACGGCCATCATGAGGCCACTTCATCATCGAATGTCACGTGTGAGATCCTGGGTCATCATCGCTCTTATTTGGGTGCTTAGCTGTTCGTTGGCTTGTCCTGGTGTTCTTTTTTCAAACACAATGACTATCAGGTACGCATTCATGTTTTACATTATTCTTCGTTTTTGACCGATCATTTAAACATTCCTATAGACTCTGTCTGGGCGTTGGATTGATTCTCACTTTTGGCCCATAGTAGTATAAATTTATCACTTAAAATCTTTGCAGCAGGCTCATCGTGCACAATATTCCCCGTCAACATTTTTCCTTCAAAGAAATTTTGAAGGAATATTCATCCAGGGGGAAAATATTGTTGATGGTAAATGAATCAAATTTTACAAGACATTTTGTTGCTAGACTGGGAATCCATTAGTGGCCACCAAATTTTCTGGGGATCATATGGAACCAAATCATCACAATGTACGAGTAGGACAAGAACTGTGTTAAATTCCACCAAGTGGTGAAATTTAAGTAGAGTTTATTCAAAATAAATTAGTTTGATAAGGTTGGATTAAGACAAATAATTACAATTTCAATTCTATGAGGAAGCTAACTTTGAATTTCAATGAAAATTAAAGAATTTTTAGAGGTGTTTGTTGTTGAAAGGAGTCCTTTCCAATCCGCCGGAAGAGAAATTCCAGTGGAGTCGAATCTTGTTGTCTAATTTTCTGCACATCACTCTGACTGCAATAGTTCTCGTTTTGCTTTCAATTGATCGTAGAATATCTGATAACATTCTCACAACTGACGTCAATATTATATGTAAATCCGTCTATTCAAAGAAGCTGCAACCGCCTTGAGTCTATAGCTAGTTGTTTTTGCAGCGTGTATGCTTCTCGTTTCGGTGTGGAGATAGCCAGCACAATGTCAACATGGCCACATATTCGCTCATTCGGACAATACTTAATACTTATCTACTGGAGCGTACCATGATTATGGTGGAATGAAGTCGAGTTTGTCTGGTGAACACAAATCACCTCAGTCCGAGCTTGAAATCATTCAACTCGCTCCAGAATAGATTTACGGAACGATTCGTCGCTTGGCTGACATAAGGGCGTAACTACACATTGAGATGAGCCCGGAAAAGCATTGAATTGTATGGAGGATAGGGTTCATTACAGAGTGTAGTTACGCCCTTGTGTCAGATAAGCGACGGATTATAATCATAGTCCCGATTCATGCAGAGAGAGTCCTCTTTCGTGCTTGACGAATAAATTGTTTGTTTCAATAAGTGCCCAACTCGAAAAAGTGGAATGCCGCGCGTTTTACCACAGAAAATTAATTTTAGGGGAAGATGCACACTTCGTTGTTTCTCCCTATTTGTTCCATTGAGAATATACGCAAAGATTCTGTTTATTTCCAAATGGGCCGATTCTTGAAATTATAGTATAATCGCAACCATTCTAGCACTCGAATGATTAATATACTGTCGGTAATGAACAAAGGCATGAGGATATTCAACTTCTGCGTCAATTTTATTAATAGACTCGAAACTTCAACCCGTTACAACATTGGGTTTCAATGAAATTGAGTAATCAGCTCGAGATTTTAAGTGATTCGTGAGATTGGTGTCTGACAGGGTCGTTGACCGAGGTTTACTGTGTTTACATGCCTTGTTTGCTCGTCTATGTTTGTTAACGTGTGCCGTACCAAGTTGCAACCTAATACCTTAAATCGCGGGCCAATTGAATGCCCTGTGCTGATTTTTATTTCGGAATGGACATCTCAGCTCAAGCGTTGTAAATGCCAATACATATGTAATGTAATGATCACCACACGGCTATTAATTCAAGCACATACCTGAAAAAATCCTTTGAAATAAAGAAAAGAGATGATGTTGAGAGGTCGGATGAGTCATGGCGTCGATAATTTCAACCGTCGCACGGTGGATCGAATCAATTGGAGAAGTCGTACAAAATTTGGAAACTTTAAAAGCTCATAAATCTATTATTGCAAAACGTGGAGTTCTTAAAAATGGCCCCATTAGTTTTTTTCATAAAATTTACCCGGAAAAGTACCCCTCAAACTTTAATATGTCATGAAATAAACATCTAGTTTTTGTTAAAAATTTCATGTCCGACCTCTCTCCTTAATTCGATCCACTGTGCGTCGGTGACTCTAAATATCAGTCATGAGCTTCGGGCGATGATCTGCAAGTATAATGGAGCCCTAATATCGTACGTGGGTGAGATTTGCAATTTCAGCATGTCACTTTACATGATATTTTGCCAGTGTCATGAGAGTCTATCATGACGGCAGAATCTAGTCACTAATGACAAGTTCACCGAGGGCTTTCTAAGAACTTGGCTTTCCTTTAGCCAATGTGCATTACCAACCGACAAACCCTTCTTTTACCCAACCAAATACTGGCCTGAACCTAACTTGGGGGAGGTATCAAAGGAGCACCCTATCAAGGGGGCTCGGGGGCACTAAAAGACACACCGCCAAGAGGGATCTATGGGAATTCCTTAGCCCAAAGGAGGGACTCGGGGGCGGGGGGGGGTTCCCTATCTTCAAAGGGAGACCCGGAGGCCTCGTTTGGAACATTTTGAACGATTGAGTCGTCTCAAGAGCAATATTGAGCTGTTCTCATCACAGATTAGGTCGAATTAAAATTTCAAGGATGAAAAATATATCACACACTAATCCAGCAAAACCTCTCAAATGTATTGAAAAGGGCCAATTGAGTAGATTTTTGGTGGGGGGAGCAAGCCCCACAGCCTCATCTTAGCTTCACTCATGACTATCTTTGAAAAAATAAAGCAGACGTAAAAATTTTGAAATTACACAGTTATTAGGTTGAAGGCTTTCTAGATGTTGGCTATGTACACTTCCTGATTTCAATGTACCCGTTGTTGTTTCTTCATCGGTTTTTTATCGATACAAACCAGGGCCGGATTTACCTACTTGCCGCCCATGGGCCGCCTGTATTGTGCCGCCCCCTTCTCAGTCGTTTTGAGACATCAATAAAAAACCATCAAGTGAACGTGCCGGAGGGAAAGGGGTGCATAAGACGCGCTTATTCGTGTTGGACACATTTTTGTGAAAGCCCTATCAACACTACTAGCAAAAGTTCACGGAGCTTTGCGCGAAAGTTAGGTTCCGTAAACCTATCTCTGCGTGGACAGTGCCTTGCATTTATGAGAAATGAACGAAAACATTGTGAAAGAACAAACATCATAATAATTTAAACTTTCGCTTCCGCGCCGCGCTGACTGCACTGTGTTTGGCGCAATGCGTGAAGTATTCACGCAGTTTTGTAGGCGCTACTAGGTATGTGTTACATGCCGACCGCCGCGTCGAGAGCATCTTTCTATTTCATGTCGTCCTCGTCATCATTGCTCTCTGCGCCGCGTTGTCCCTTGTGTCACCGAAAGACGACACACTCTTAGGAAATAAAAGATTTTGTTGCCTCACCTCTTTGCAGTTTTTTTTCTGAATCCGATTTTTTTTATACCTGCATTTAAAAAAATTGCAAAATTTGCTGCCTCCTAAATTTGCCGCCATGGGCCGCGGCCCATGCGGCCACACCCTAAATCCGGCCCTGATCCAAACTTTAACATAAAACTACTGTTTCAGTTTTAAGCCTATTTCCTAACAGAAATAGCATTCAGAATTTAGTATTTATGGGAATGAATTCGTAGACATTTGAGAAGCACTCTTAAAGGTGAATAATATATCATAATGCTGGGAAGAAATCTTACGAGCAACCCATTTGGATCTCCGCGCGCACACATCCAAACGAAGTTTGCTCCTGAGACGTGTGCAATTTATCCTCTTGTTGTCTATGGTGGCGTTTTGAGAGGCAGGCGAACACACCTCACGTCAAAACAGATTTCTCCCGCTCAAATCTCGTGGTTGCGCTCATGCTATTTGCTCTATGTGATCTATTTGCTCTATTCAATTTCGGCTGGAAGAAACTGCTGCGGGTTTAGCACGAATACAGTCAACGACTCACAGATCTTCTATTTCAAGTTATGAGCAGACGATGGGACTTCAGTGTCATGCCCACCCGTCCAAAAAATCTTTGCCAGATCCAGAAACTACAATTTTTTCTCTTTTAGTCTTAATCTCTCAAAGACCAGTACGTCAATGTAGCCTAGTAAAAATGGAAATAGGGGCTGGGATAACATATTTTTAATTTCGTCTTTTGAATCTTCAGTTCTTCATACCACAGATGTCACAGAAATGAATATTAAGGGGAAAAGTAGTTTTCAATCATTTTTTCCCCGTTTTGCATGATCTCTCCTTATTAACTCCAACTATAGAGAATTAAAAATACAAAAACTTGTCTATTTAAACGTATTTTTAAACACCTTGGCAGTTTCGGAAGGATCATGGTTAATAACATGGGCTAAGAAGCTCGTCCTTACTGCTGATCATTGATCATTAGAGCGAGACTAAAACGCGTACTAAACATTCTCTAAACGTATAATTGTTTTTTAAATGTTGGTACCGCAGTTGGAAAAAAGTGAGGACAAATCCACCGAGAGGGAAAAGGATATTGCAAGGTGCGTGCGTCAACAGCTCGCTTGTAAAATCTGCAGTAATGACATTTAAAATTAGAGATGCTCAATGAGAACTGAAGAACAAAAGTCAGAGTTATTTCATCCCACCATTTAATATGCTTAAGTATGACCAATACCGAATTGGCCATCATCATAACGAAACAGAGAGACTCGGATTTTTCGCAGAAAAGAGAAGTAATTTTGTTTAATGTACACCATGGAATTCAAAGTCTCGTAAGCGCTTGCAAATTGAGAACAACGAGAGCTCTCATCATTGAAGTTGTTGAATGGGATATCAGATGGACAGAGAATTTGTGTAGAATTTGTGCGTTTCACAAGTGTGCACCCAAAGAGAATTAAATTATTTCGACATTTAAAGCTGCGGACAATGAGCTCTGCTGCGCATTAACAGCCCCTCTGATTTGTCAGTGTCTTGCAGAGACACGATCCTTTTTTTCACATGATCCTTGGTGACGATGTAAACTCATTGAAATTGGGGCTCATTTCACAATGAACAGCATTCTTTTGATCGGTACTTCACATTCTACTAATGCTTGTCGTGAGCTGATGCCCATTAGCGAGTTCTCAGATTGATACAACAGATTTTAACAATGAAAATTTGCCTTTTGACTGTTTCAGATACGCCAACGGTCAATCGAAAACCGTTTGTTTTGTGCAGTGGCCTGATGGACGATTTCCATCTTCCGAGACTGAATATGTGTGAGTATACCTACATAATCGTCACTCTTCTGACGTATTTCTATTTCTACTTTAGCCCTGGAAAGTATTGAGTTATACGAAGAGCAGAGCTCACATGGAAATTAAGGTACACGCCCTGACGTCGGCGGAACGTCAATATTGGCAACATTTGTAAACTAGGGAATTTGGAGAATGCTCTTTTAGCAGTGGAAAATCTAATTAACTTTGTTGATACCCTGAAGCCTACTACCTTAATCGATCGATGCGCTTAATCAGAAATGGGTGAAATAATTTGGAAAAATTAGTGTCCGAAATTCCTTTGTGGTAGTCTGCCTTCATGAGGAACCGTAATTGTAACAGTAACTTTAGTACCATTGTACCTGTATTTTTGTTTCAGATATAATATTATATTTTTGGGTGTAACTTACCTAATACCTGTGCTACTGATGGGTGTTTGCTATTTTCTGATGGGCCGAGAGCTGTGGGGAAGTAGATCGATAGGAGAGCAAACTTCTAGACAGTTAGATGCTATCAAATCTAAGCGGAAAGTAAGTATTTTTTTAGTTACATTTATTTTATTCATGGTAAAATTGCAACAAAATTACACATGGGCCTCGTATAGAGCGATTAAATACATTAATATACACTCACCAGTCCCCCCCTCTTCCTTTAATCCGTACTTTACAAAGGATTTGCCGCGAAGGACCAAAAAAATCACTGCTATATCGTTCTCACCCGACTGCAAGTTTTGCCTTTGATTTCATGCATCATTCTTTCATGGAATAAAGTGAATCTGAACTGAATGAACTGCGAGGCATTAGCTATCTTATGAATGGAACATCCTAGTGAGCCGGGAGACTAGGGGCTTTAAAGGTAACGCTTTGAACGTTTCACGCTCTGAAAAGCTTGCGTGGCGCGGACTTCCTGGTTCACCGATCTTTATAAAAGAAAAGAGGAGAGGCTTCTTTCAGTCGTGATAGGTGATACCTCGTATGACACATTCGCAAATAGAGGGAAATTTTGCCTGAGCTAAGAGATCTTTCGACATAAAGTGGTGTTTGATCGAGGGATAAAGATTTCTTTATTATTTTATTTTTTTTTTTTAAATCATCTTTCAATTGGACAAGAATCCAATGACCTGGGGAGAAGAGTTTTTGTCCTGCAAAAAAAGCTAATATTCAGAGAATATCTCTCGATACATTGTGAAAAAGGGAAGGCATTAAGGCTCTTCAAATAATAGGAAAGTCAAGCACAATCTTAGCCATGTACCTATTGGCGCTTTTCAGGTTTTGAATTTCCATTCTTCAATTAATGACGCCTTCAGTGGAAAGTACTTTAATGCATGAGGTCAAACCCCATATTCAAACATATTATTTAGTACTGTTTCAATTGAGTGTATCAGTTTCACTGATGAAGCGCACCGAGCGAGAAAAAAATTCGATAGCCTAACAGGAAGACAGATAATAAGTTTCAGTGAGATTTAAGACATTTTTATCACGTAATGAATCCTGTAGTCTCTTATTCATCGATCAAAATACGAAAAGACAGAGAGTAATCATGGCTGCAGTTTTTAGGCTCTTTGTTGATCAGCGGCTCAATGTCAGGTTATTGATGACTGTATTCTGCTCGTATTCTGATCGGATAATGAGAGTCTCTGACAGTGTTGCCATGTTCCGGATAAAATCCCAAATTTTCGTTTGTTCGTATGGAAAAAATGAATATAGTTCCACAAACAAAAAAAAAAGAAACTTGACGAGTTCATATCTCAGCGGTGAACTGTCGCTCATTGATGCGTACCTTGTCCACTGGGTACTCTTGTTATTGCGCAATCTCATTTATTTTCTTGTTTTTCTTTAGTAAAAATATTTCGTTAACCAAGTCTAAAAATTTAGTTTTTCTTTCTTTTCTTTTATCCTGCTCCTTCTGTATACCGTGTTGGAGTTGGATTTTATGGATTGTAATATTCGCTCGGATTCTTTATTAGTCAACGTCAGCTTCTTTAAACATTATAAAACATAAAAACGGAAAGCAATCTTAATTTAAATTTTGAAACGCCTGTGCTTGTGTTCGCACGAATAAATGCCATACTTAGAATAAGAATGAGCGGAATCACCTTGATAATCAACACACAATTGGACGTATTTCTGCCAACCGGAACTATGTGCATTATGACGTGAGCTCTATTATGAATATATTCTTATGGGTCTCAGGGCTCATGTCTCAACGCACATAGTTCCGTTTGGCGGAAATGCGTCCAATTTTGAAGTCAAATTCATTAAAAAATGGAAATTTCCTAATCGATTTACAATCCATTTAAATGTACAGTATTCTTCGATTATAGCAATACTTCATAACGCTATTGCGGTATACAAATAAGAACATAAAACTATGCATTAATAATCTCAATATAAACGTTGTTGGGAAATCGCGTCAGCGCTGTTTTCTTAATGCCGGAATTACTCCAATGAAATTAAATTGAGGATGATGCAACTTTCGATTCGAGATAAAAGTTCCCGAACAGGATAAAGTTCTTGCTATTATTTTAAGACTTCTTGCTTCTCGAGAGCGTAACCATTTATGGCGCCATTTATTATCATCATTTTTATCTTTCCAGAAAAATGAGTCGTAAAAAAGAAGCCCTGATACTTAAAGTTGAGTGATTTTCCTCAGGGATTGTTTATTCAATTACAAAGTAATCTTCTGAGATTTACCTGCGTGTCTAAGCCAAAATTTACGACATCGGAATACTCAAATAAGTTTTTGTTTTATATAGCTTCTATCATTTTTTAGACCGGAGGCAGAGATGGATGCGATGTGAGATTTGTATTTTAAACACAAATATTTACACTGGATAGTATCATTTCAATGTCTTGGTTCGCATTGGTGACGACGCGACATAAAAAAATTACAGAAATCGAGGACTTTTTCGGTAAAAGGACGTATATAGCTTGCAATGCTGCTGAGATTGTGCAATTTTCATAGCTTTTGCGGCAGATGGAATTCATTCAGAGTCGACTTACTGTCTTACAATAGTAAGAAAAAACTCGGAGCAGTTTCAGGGAAAATTTCATAGCAGAACTGTCGGACAAGTTCCTTAAAACTGGAGAACGTTGCACTAAAATCTTTGCAGCAATAGAAGTCTCATACGTCCTTTTACCGAAAAATGCCTCAATTAATGACTCGAGTCTTGATGCTCTGTGTTTGTAGATTCCGAGAGGCAAATATTTTTGTTCATTGACTTACGAGGAAATTGTTTCCTGATTAGCATTTCTCCTACCCTTTCTAGAAGAAGATATATTCTTTTTTCTTTTTGCTTGTTGGGGGGCAGATTATTGCATGTAAACACTACTGTTCTCAACCCTGAATGCATCCTCGAAAAAATAAGATTTTTTTTGTCGAAGAAGTTCAGGTAAAACTTTGCCGTATGCATTTTCTTTCATTTTACACAGCAGTTGCACTAGAGCACACAAATTATAAATGCAAAGTCCTTTTTGCGCGTTTCATTCTATAAACCACTTTACAATTGAATGTAAATACAAGTTCAACGCTTTTTTACCTCAAATTAATTGGCATGATCCGATGTGGGCTCACGGTGGAATGTTGTGATTGTAAGGATGAGAATAAAAGATTTTCATAAAATAAAATGCCAAAAAAAGGCTTATCTACGTGGATCTCCTATTGGAGTTGAGCCTTTTCCCTTAAACATAACACTGTATCTACATCACTAAGCTGCTCTTCCGCCGTGTGCATTTTTATTAGCATGATTCAGCATAGGTTGCAATCACAGCCACTGGGTATATTCAAAAAAATATTCTCGGCAACCCTGCGATCAGATAATTTTGTCTCTCCTCTTTTCTCAGAGTTGATTTAGGTCAAATACATGCCTACGAGGATCGGTTTATTTTTGCGTGAGAATTCACGAGAAAAATCCTTATTGAAGATGTTTAAAAGCGCGTAAATATGAGCCCTCTTATCCTTAATCCGTAGGGTTAAAGTGAATTATCTTGCTGAAAGCGTGTATATCTCTCTCTCTACCGATACGCCAGCAGGGTGAAAAAACGAGGAATGAATGAGGGAACGGTACTGCATCATTGATTCCCCTCATTATGGTTCAGGCATTCCTCAACCTTTAAGGAAGCTTTAAACTTTTTATTTAATCTCATTTCTTATGGAAGTTGCCACTTTTGTTGGAGTAGCGGCAACTTTCTTTCACTGATTTTAATCAAAAGACTCACCATTTCACTGTAAATTGGCAACACTGCTAATCACTTTTCAGCCCTCATGCCATTGCTTTGGCCGTCGCTCATTCATGACGATGGATGTGTTTTTCTGCTAAATATATTAATTTTCTGTATTCTTTCATAAATGCATCGAAGAACTTTGACTTTTTGACGAGTTTATCTAGAGATTGCACTGAGCAATGAACTCCAATTGAGTCAATCAGCGCTGTATTTTCATTCTCTGAACAATGTCAAAGGTGATCATCGAATAATCCGTTCATCCCGATGTGATTAATCAGAAGTCGTCAATCTTTGTAATTATAAAATCCAGTCATAAATTTTGATAAAGGCAAGTCAAAGTTAGTTGACATCTAGCCACAGACACTAATATCTACCTCCAGTTGATGCAGTATAATTCCTCCCATACTTTACTGTTCGACGGAAAACTGGCCATCATGTTGTTGCTTCAAATTGACTTCATTTTGCAATTTATACAGCTCATTTTAGAAAGAATATATTGGTCACTAGTTTCCTGATGCAGATAGGCGTCTCTATGATATTTTGATGACGAAATTACGGATTCACTTTCTTTCAGAAAAATTGAGGCTAAAATCGATTTATCAAAGCTTTTAACATTTAAAAAAGAAGCGGTCAAACCATCCATCAAATCTATAGGTCTCACAATTCCACGTCAAGAGTAAGGAATCGATTTTATGTGACGTATTAAGTTCTGATCAGGAAATCGATAGTAGCGAATCGTTTTCGAATGTCGTTTTCCGATCAATAGCATTGCTTCAATGGGAATCTATCGATCAAGTTTCAAGAACGATTACACAATCAATCCGCAGCCATGCGTTCTATACTGCTATGCTAAGGGAAAACGCCTTATGAGCCTTCAGGCGCTATCAAATTTCCCTTGAAAGAGCACAAATTTCTTGCAAAGTTCATGAATATTCTTCTTCCAATTTTATTTTAAATTTTGTTCGCAATTTTGCCCTAAGATCCTGAAATTTCCAATGAAAAATATGAGTAACTTTCATCACAAATAGACATTCACTGGAGGAAGAAAACACATTGGATCTAAAGTCCAGACTCTTAAAAACATCGACAAGAAAAAATACTCTTGATTCATTCAGATTTAAGCTTAAATTAAGAACCAAGCCTCTTAATTTGAGCGGATTTCCTTTTGATTTAAGCTTAAATCTGATTGAATCAAGAGTATTTTTTCTTGTCGATGTTTTCAAGAGTCTGGACTCTAGATTCAATGTGTTTTTTTCCAGTGTTTTATCGGAGGAAACTTGGCAACATTCGAATGTTCAAACGGCGTTTTTCCGTAGAACGGCAGTATACTCGTAGCGTCTAAAAATATTTTGTGGCATCTGATTTGCAGGTGATACGAATGTTCATCGTAGTTGTGACAATATTTGCTGTCTGCTGGCTTCCTTATCACGCCTACTACATAATAATATTTCATAGGAGAGAGCTGTCTCGCTCAGCCTACGTCCATCACTTGTACCTGTTGTTTTACTGGCTGGCAATGAGCAATGCCATGGTGAATCCGCTCATATACTACTGGATGAATCGCAAGTGAGTATGGCCCACTTACTTTTTTCGTATTTTTTAAATATTATATAACTAATTAACAAGTCGGTCTTATAACGCCTCTGTGCGCTGTGCGACACCCAACCGCCACTGATAGCGATCCTGCCAGAGCTGATCCGGCAGATCGCATCTCCTCCTCATTTCATGCCTTATTCCCTCAATCCACGATTTGGCAGGGCGTCCTCTACGCTTTCTGCGGGGGGGGGGGGGATCCAGAACCAACCTAGCCAACCTATCATCTAGCATCCGTTGCGCCACAACCATACTAGACGAGCTGTTTTGTGAAAATCTAATATTCATTCTATTATTTTCCAGCATCCATGTACTTATGGACTGCGTTTATAACTTTTTGTAGGAGCCGAGGAGGGAACATCCTAAGGGGGGGGGGGGGTTATTTTTAATTTGACCACTGTGTTCTGCAAGAATTGTAATGGGTGAAAATGTCTTTCGTTGTCACCGTCTTAGGAGGACGTGAAACGTCACATCGTGACGTCAAAGCAACAACGGACTGCGTTACCTCAATGGACTACCAGACAAGGTACGAATTTCAGCATTCTGATACATGCTCTATAACCAAAATTTCACGTAAAACACGATGCGCACAACGAAAATTACCGAAATCAACTCCTCACGAAGATATTTAATAATTCTTGATGCGTGAAATCAAACCACCCGCTCATGAAAACTCAATGCTCTACGTGATTCACATCGCGCTCATAGTTTATCATGACAGTCTATGCGAAATAAAATCTGGCAACCTAAATCTTGATGCTTTGGCTCAGCTATAGCAAATTGCTTTTAGTTTGAACAACACATGGTGGGAAATGAACATTGCTCGAGTGAAAAGCTTGCTGAAACCGTTGTAGTGCGCGATTTGATTCACGTAGAGCTTTGAGTTTCTTGTGAGCGGGCAGTTCAAATTCCTTGAAACAAATGTGAAATAAAAACGTTAATATCTTCGTTAGGAATTAAGTTTCAGTCATTTTCGTTGCGCGAATCGTGTTCTGCGTGAAATTTTGGTTACGATACAATAGAGTACGATGCATACCAGAATCCTTTAATTCGCACCTTGTCTAGTGGTCCATTTGTTACTTTGGGGAAGGGACACGAATATGCGGAGCGCAGTAGAGATTAATCATCCTAACTTTGGTTCCTCGCACGAGCGTACGACGATGCACAGAATTCCATCTCGAGATCGGTAGTTCGTTGGAGCGCTAACCGCGGTGCCGCATGCCGCCGGCCGTCGCCGCCATGTTAATCATTGCCACGGCCGTGCAGCGTGCATATATTCGATTTTCCCCGAAAACTATCAATGTCAAGTGCTCACACACGGTAGACAAGGGGTGCCGTAGACAGATGGTCTGGAAAAGCCCACAATATTATCGCCGACGGACGAGCATCATGCCGAGTCGAGGTCAAAATTAAGGGGGGGTCGGTCAAGTATCACGGAAGCCACTTATGAGGAGGGGGTTCTGAGATCGCCTAAGGGAATAATCAGTGGCGAGGCGTGCTTTGCGATGTATCGAATGATCTGCCATTTAAACCTATGGAAAATGATCGATAAACAGGGTGTTCGCAGCGAACACCTAAATAATCGATTCTTTACCATAGATTTAAATTACATATCAATCGATAAATCGCAATTCACGCCACGCCACTGGGAATAATACGAGGAGAGTCAGGGGGTGCATAGCTCAGACAAGAGCATTCCAATGTCGCTAACCTTGCAAACATAAACGATCATCTAAACTAGTGTCACCTCTACTCCCAATAATATGAATTCAAGACGAAAATTACCGTCGCAAAGTTTACTTTTTGCGAAGAATGTACCTTAGTTGCACAATCCTAGCAACATTGAAATACTCTTAGTTCCTTTTTGCAAAATGCGATCCAATTGGTTGTTGCTGCAAAAAAATAGTTTCCCACAACCTGCTATACGATGCTCCAGTGACCATGTAAGTTGGCCCGAGCACTAAGTTTTCGGGAAGAAAGCCTTTCCCCTACCTGGTTTCTCACTTAATATCCGCCCGAGTTTCGCATATCTTCCGTTTCTCCTCATCGCAGCTTCCATCAAACCGCAATTGCCCGGAAACTAGGACCGCACATCTTATCTGATAAAATCGTTCGCCCTTCAGACCGATTCTGGGGGGTTAGGCTAGACTAGTCGATGAGTCAACTGTTCACCTAATTTCATTACGTGAACGTAGAAGAAAAACGGGGTGAAAAATCACTAATGTGTGATTAATTTTCAAGGACAATTCAAAACTGATGCGATTTCATACATCAAATTTTAGAATAGCGTGAAGGAAAGAGGTTTAATGACGTAAAAAAACACTAATGTGTGATCAATTTTCGAGGACAATTCTGTAAATTTCTCCTACGATTTTAAATAGATTAAAATCCGTAATATCCAAAATCTATGCTCAGATTCGGATTCCTCGTGAAAAATTAATGAGATTTTATGCATCATATGTTAGAATAGCGTGAAGGAAAGAGGTTTAATGACGTAAAAAAACACTAATGAGTAATCAATTTTCAAGGACAATTCTGTAATTTCTCCTGCGATTTTAAACAGATTAAAACGCGCAATATCCAAAATCTAAACTCAGATTCGGATTCCTCGTGAAAAATTGATGAGATTTCATGTATCATAATTATGTTAGAATAGCGTGAAGGAAAAAGGTTTAGCGACGCGTATAGATTCTGTCGTACTACCCGTTTGAACTACGCCGCCGCGCGGGTCGCCCGAGTGAAACCGAACGGGGAGGCGCCGGCCGGCGCGGCGCTTAGCGTTCGGTTTCGTCGCGAGGAATTTCTCACGATAAATTCTTATTCTTCCTCCTCCGCTGACCCACTGAGCACTACCCATGTTGCCACGTTGGATTCATATGCTCGAATCAGTATGTCTACGTTACGTCTCTTTCCTTCACGCTATGCTCGGGTATGATACATGAAATTGTATCAATTTTTAACGAGGAATCCGAATCTGAGCTTCGATTTTGTGTATCACGCGTTTTAAGTCAAATTTTTCAACTTCAAAAATCCGAAATGACTGAAGTGGCTTAAAATGCCATCTCGGCTCCTGTTCGATGGATTTTCCTGAAATTCGGTGTCAGGGTATGATACATGAAATCGCATCGATTTTTTACGAGGAATCCGAATCTGAACTTTGATTTTGGGTGTCACGCGTTTTAAGTAAAATTTTTCAACTTCAAAAATCCGAAATGACTGAAGTGGCTTAAAATGCCATCTCGGCTCCTGTTTGGTGGATTCTCCTGAAATTCGGTGTCAGGGTATGATACATGATATCGCATCGATTTTTGACGAGGAATCCGAATCTGAGCTTCGATTTTGGGGATCACGCGTTTTAAATCAAAATCTGTTAAAATTCAAAAAATTCAAAATTCGAAAATCCGAAATGGCTTAAAATGCTATCTCGGCCCCTGTTTGATGGATTTTTCTGAATTTCGGTGTTAGGAGGTATTTTTTGACAGGAAACTCGAATTTTTAGTCCATTTTTTAAAATTCTCAAATTCAAGATGGCGGACGTGGGCTAAAATGCTATCTCGGTTTCTGTTTGCTCGAGTCTTGTGAAACGCGGTATCACACGGTATTTTTCAACGGAAAACTCGAATTTTTAGTCAACTTTTTAAAATTCTCAACTCCAAAATGTCGGATGTGTTCTAAAATGAGCCTCGGTTCTGGCCTCCGTTTCTGTTCGTTAGAGCTTTGTGAACCGCGGGATCAGCGGTATTTTTCGACGGGAAACTCGAATTTTTAGTCGATTTTTGAAAATTCTCAAATCCAAGATGGCGGACGTGGCCTAAAATGCTATGTCGGCTCCTGTTCGATGGATTTATAGCGCCCCCTTACTACATGCCTACTCTTGTATTTCTGTACAGCCGCAAATTTAGGGTCAAGGGGCGCCTGACCGTCTATGGACCAGGTGGAGTTTTTGTCCTGAAAATTTACCTTTAGACGGCAATTCTCTTTATATTTTGTCCATGGTTTTTATGCCCCCCCCCCCTTTCTCGCGGACTCTCTTTTCACTTTTCTTGCCTCCTTTTTCCTTCCATTTCCCCCCCCCCCCTCTTCCTTGCTTTCACTGCCTAACCTTGTTTCCTTTTCCTTTTTTCCCCTTGTCCTTTCTTCCCTTTCTTTCCTTTTCCTTTTCCCCCTTTTTTTCCCTCTCTTCTTCTTTCGTGGCGCCCCCCAAAAGCTGGCGCCCGTGTGCGCCGCACGCCCTGCACACGCCCTAAGTCCAGGCCTGAGCTCAGACTTGCTGATGCCCTTTACTTTGAAAAAGTAATATTTTATAATAAGAATCATTTGTCCATTTACTTTTTAGGCTTTCCTTGGTTGCTGCTGAAAAATGGGCGGGGGGGGGGGGTAGTCTTAAGGACAGTCTTACGGAATACAAAAGAGAGGGCGTGAAGATGTCATGTGTGTGCCTTAAGGTAACGTTGCATGGTGGCAACGATCATGGTGTCAACAAACCAAAAATCTACAAAAACTTAGAGAAACTGTTTGTGGACACCATGATCGTTGACACCATCCTACGTAATCTAAAACATTATTGCCGCATGCTCTGCTAAAGTGCTCTTTAGGTTTTTGAGTTATACAAATAATTTAGTATCTTTTCATTCAGAACATGTCTGTAAGAAAAAATATATAACAAATTTGGAGATTCGAAAGCCAATTTTTACATTTTCACTGCAAATACACGAGGTACACCGTATTGACACTTCCTCCGGAGAATTCTTGTCGAGAATAATCCGTCTAAACTTAGAACTTATTCTGTTCTGCCTTTACGCGATATGAATATATCTTATTTTGCCCTGATAAGATTCGTAAAATTTAGTCCACCGGAAGGCAATTGTGATCGAAGGAATTACATGGCCATGCATTCTTTTTTATCAATAGATTTATCTTCTCGGAAGAATATTCGAACACTCTCGGAAAAGGAAACAAGTTGGATTTTGCAATCGCTAGCGATAGCAATATTCGTCATGGGAACGTTAGCTTCTGGGATATGAAAATGTTAAGGTACAGTTCGTTTGTAGTATCTTCTGAATTGAAGGGGCTATGTAATTTTGTGTTGACATCTCTTTTTTAACATTTTTAATTATTTTCTTTGCATACAAGAAAGCTGTTATGTACCAATTATTTATTTTCGTTGGATTATATATGGTTTTCGGAAGTTAACGCATTTAAGTTTCAGGTTCGCTTTTTCGGCGTAAAGTGTACATAAGGTGTCCCAAAAGCACCGGGACTTGTTCTGTAACTTCGAAAGTAAGATAGATACAGACATGATCTTGATTTCATTTTAAAGATCAACTCAATACCTATCGATTAAAACCAAGATCAGCTCAATCGGATAAAAATTGACCGAGTTATGGCAATTTGAAATCAGCGAGGAAAGTTTACGCCTACGGTTTTTAAGGAAGATTCTTCATCGCCGTAAATCGAAAAGTCGGCCGATAAAGTGATGCTTATTGTGTTTTTTTATTTTCGAGGTGTCATTTATCAACATTTTGTACCATCAAACACAACAGTTGACAGTGCGTATTATTGCAAAGTACTAAAGGAGTTGAGAATGCACATTTCCCGGAAACGGTCGGACTTGAAAGCTTCGTGGATACTCCATCAAGACAATGCGCGGCCTCACACATCGAGCTTAACACGTGAATTTATGAGTAAAAATGGAGTTGAAACAATCCCTCATCCCCCTTATAGCCCTGACTTGGCTCCATGTGATTTTTGGATGTTTCCTGCGCTTAAAAAGGAGCTTCGCGGACGAAGATTCGTATCGAAGACAAAAATCCAGAATGCAATTCAAAACTTCTTCAACTCCATCCCAGAGGAAGAATTCAGGAAAACAATGTTGGATAAGTGGCAAGAGCGCATGAAAAAGTGCATCCGGTTTGATGGACGGTACTTTGAAAAGCAAAAGGAAGTTATGGAAGATTCGGAGGAAAGTGGATACGAATATTAACTTTTTGAATCCTGGTAAGCGAAAAATCTTCCTAAAAACCGTAGGGGTAAACTTTCCTCACTAATTTCAAATTGTCATAACTCGGTCAATTTTTATTCGATTGAGCTGATCTTGGTTTTAATCGATAGGTATTGAGTTGATCTTTAAAATGAGACCAAAATCATGTCTGCATCTATCTTACTTTTGAAGTTACAGAACCAGTCCCGGTACTTTTGGGACACCCTACGTATGATATTTTTACTCTACACATATGCCCAAATACGCATCATAAGGGACCTATGTGCTTCCTAAGTTGCCAAGTATTAATTATTGTTAGATTATTGGTCTAAAACATTCAATACAACCAGTAAAAATTAGCTGTCCTCTACGAGATTCGAACCCCCGCTCCCACAAAAAGTGACACTCTCCCAGAATCAGAACGGCGTTGTAGTTGACTGAGCTATCTCACGGCTCGGAAATAGGAGGAGAAAAAGAGAACAGTTAAGTGATCTCGGACGCTGAGCGGGGCTTCACAAAAGACGTCCTTGAGATTTCAACGGTTCGGCCACTGGCGTGATAAGAGACAAATGGATCAAGCGCATTACTCTGTGAGACATTGTTTACCTATGCGGTCATGTGTCATAAGGTTCATCTCATTATGCATTTGCGATCGCGGCAGTAAGCTGAGGCAATATTTCTGTATTCATGGATTAAATCCATCAATCGAGTTCTGATTTTGGCTCATATATCCGTAACGGGTCCTCCAGAGCAATTTTCCACCTTGTACGATGGTTATTATTTCTTTATATCTATGTTTAAAATTTGAGGTGGGATAATGGCGGCTTCTCAAGAGCAACGAGGTAGGCGATCTTTTGCACCAACGAACAGAAAACTGATGGCGAAAAATAACCAATCAGAACCTCCCAAAAAAAAGAATTTGCCTAAAAACGGAACTTCGTGGTTCTGCGCAGATTTACCAGTCAGAAACGACATCTCAAGGTAAAAAAAAACTCGCTGAAAGCGAATTTTAGCAATCAACACAACTTGACGTAGAGACATGTTATTATTTCTTTACATCTATGTTTAAAATTTGAGGTGGGATAATGGCGGCTTCTCAAGAGCAACGAGGTAGGCGATCTTTTGCACCAACGAACAGAAAACTGATGGCGAAAAATAGCCAATGAAAACCTCCCAAAAAAAAGAATTTGCCTAAAAACGGAACTTCGTGGTTCTGCGCAGATTTACCAGTCAGAAACGACATTTCAAGGTAAAAAAAAACTCGCTGAAAGCGAATTTTAGCAATCAACACAACTTGACGTAGAGACATGATTGGCTAAAAAATACAACGGTTTTTGATACATCGGAAAATCAACCAAAAATCGGAGACTGGGCGAAACGCTCAAGGTCGCAGAGGTATAGGGAATCCCATTGCGAAAGCAACGGAACGATTGTAATATCATGGGGAACTCCGTTCCCATGACAATACCTGGGTGCACAAAAGAAAAATACTATCTTCCGCTCCGTCCGTGACATTGAATTGCACCAGACTCTTGACACAGCCATATCGTTGTTCAGACGTGTGTATTTATTTATGTGTTTGTTTGTTAAACGAGCATGGATGAAAAAAAATCGCTCATAAAGCATGAGATTGTCACGAAAGATCACATGAAGTAATGGAACGTTTTGATTTTGTTACTTAAGAGGTAAAACATTGCGAATGGTTAGAAGAACCCGACTTTGTTTTAAGAGAAGTGTTTAAGTTAGAAAAATTACCAGACCTTATAAAAGGGTTTTAAGTAATGCTGAACAACTCAAAAATTGAATCTGGGTCTTCCAATTCACATAATATCTAAATTGATTCTACCCTAAGGAATCAATCTCTAAATGTTCACCTAACCCAATATTTCACACAATGGAGAATTTGCACGCAATTTTTTTATTGCTTCATCTGAAAGTGCCTAATGAGCTGAGTTCGCAGTATTTTTCATAATTTTTTTCTGACATGGGAAATTTGAGAAAAATTGATTTAAAAGTGAGAAAATGTGCCGCCTTGTGACGTCATCTGGCGGCATTTCCCATTTAAACACATGTATTTTAGCAGAATCGGTTATTTTGTCATGTCTCCTCTAATAATTGCTCAATTTATGAATCAAGGGTATCTTCGTGTTCAGTTCACACAGAGGATTCCACTTAAACAGGAAATTCATCAAATTTCAGACCCTTGCAAATTCTCCATTATGTCTGTGCCCGGAAATTTTAATTTCTAAGTTAAAATGGCTCTACCGCCGCAATCAGTAGACGGGAAAAATAATGAATGTATCAATTGAATTTGTTGAAATTTAGATCTTAAAGCAATTACAAAAAGCCTCTCAATTCAACAGCTGGATACACGAGTCAGGTCTGTGCGTTTGTGAAAAGCGAAATACAGCATACAACTTTTTTAACGTTGCGGATATGCGGGAAGTATAAGCTTAAAAATGAAGGAACTCCGGGAAATCGGCTCAAAGTCTGAAATTTGTTCCTGGCTCCGTGTTCTTTTTAAAAATCATTTGATGCCTACACCCGAGTTGATAATTTGCGCCCCCAAGGCGTCTTTTAATCCCTTTACAATGCCGCTCTTCTCTTCCAATGTTGACAATAATAAGACCGTCCTCCCATCGTGGCCTCAGAACCTATTATACTACACGTGCACTCATACACAGGCTCTCTTTTATAAATCTGCCTGAATAGGCTCTTTTCACAGTTCCCCTCGGAGATTTGGTCCGCTCCCAGGACTTTTTTCCCTCGCTCATGCCTTTGGCATGTATTGATTCTATACCTCATTATGCTCCTTCTTCTCTTTTATGGCCAAATAACTAAGAGTCTCTCGGCTACTTGATAACATACATTTCTGTATTCTGATGCAAGGTATATGTTTTTTCACTTGTAGAAGGAGATAAAAACTTTTCTTACGATTTCATGTCGTTGAAGGCTTTTTCTATGTTTCGGTTGTTCAACAGGTTCCGAGTTTATTTTCGACAAGCCATTTGTCATTGCTTCTGCCTCCGACCGAACTACAAGCATGATTTGGAAGTAGTCACAGGCGTTAAGAGGGGTGGAAGCGTCTCAAATTTCAATCGGTCCTGCAGATCTGGTAAAATTTAATTATATCATATTTTATTTATTACATATATGTTGTTATTTATTGGTTAAGGGTCCAAAGGTGTGTTTGCATCGCAACTGATTAAATCTTTGACCAAGATTTGTCGATATCCGTAATTGAAATTTAACTTTTTACAATAGTGCATTAACTTTTGTCGTATACAGTTTTGGAAAAACGCGTATAGGGGTTCTTGCGTTTACATTTGGACTGCCTTAAAAATTGTTGCAACTTTTGTATTCTTAAACTGAGAGTTAAAAGTAAGATCTACCTATCCCTCGGAAGATTTAAGACGTCTAAATTTAAGCTAATTGAAAACTGCACTAATTTTCTAATTAAAACATTTTTAAGATTCAATCTTGACACTCTTATTTCAATCAGCTAAAATAGAGCAAACACTAAAAACCATTGATTTATCTTGCTTATGCGCTTACTTATAAGTATTTGATAGATCACTGTCCCTGCGTCTTACTGGAGCAACATTGAATACACCCCCATTTTGTTTTTTGTTTTTATAAATCGTAAAAATATTGAAAAGAATTATCTTGTGATCATGGTTAAATGGGTTTATTGACGTAGATGAATGCTCATTTGTCATCACATCCATCTTCTGAAGTTAGGTCATCTCACGTCGTCCATCACATACTTAAAGTCGTCAGAAAAAAGGGTACCTTGCAGTGCAAAATTTTGCATTGCGTGCAAGTGATCGAGCTATTTAAGGTTGGTAAAACCGTAAATTGGCAAGAGGGACTTTTCCTTTCGTGGAAAACTCATTATTTATAATTCCTCCATTGAAACACATATTTGGAGGTTAAATAGCTTAGATGCTGAGCTTTTTGATACCCTTCTATGTACTGACTCCTATGTTATGGCTTTCTTTCAGTCAGCTTGAATTTGAACCAGATCTAAAGGGTGTCTAAAAGTGTAGCAAAAATCAAAAGGTGAGTTGTCTCGGAATGCAAAAGATATCAGTAGCATTGAAGCCTCCAGTAAAATAACAAATTCTCCTCTGTTCAATTTTGAGATTGTAGACTTAGGTAACCCTTCTTCAAACATGTTACCTACATTACAATTAGTGCACTTTTCTTCCAATCCTCGCATTTCTATGTATCTTCGTGAGTGATTAACTATGGATATCTTGCCTAAAAGCACAAGACCTATACCGTTTCTTCAACTCGTGCTACCCGCATGTAGCCCTTAAGGATGTTTTTAATTACTTCACAAAAATCCTTTGCATTCACACCTCAAAATTCCACACTCCGAATCGTTCACGCTTAATATTTCACCTTTTCAAATACTTTCATTTCATCACCGCATTTCTAATCAAATTTTGCCTGAAGTAAGACATAATTCACATTTTATCAAAGCGAATTCTTCAATATTTTTGGCGATAAAAAGTTCAGAAATCAACAAAGTTAATAATTTACCGATGTTATTTACTCATTCAGTTTTTAAATCATTTACTTTGTGGTAGATTAAGTGAAAATTTGACGTATTAATGCAAACAGTTCATTTCGGTTATGGATCCGTTCAATCTAAAAGCCAACTCTGAAGATAAATTAATTTTTGAAAATAATGTGATTTGGTTAGAATTCATCTTTACTTTTTAACGGAAACATCAAATATAGTAATTACATAACTACAACCCTCTATAGTACATGTCAGATTCCTCATCTGCCCTATTCTTTATCTCCAAGTTTTTGCCATTTTTATCCAGTATGTTTTTTTTTCTTGATTTTTATTTTGAAGTTCGTACCACTGTACCACAAAAAGGGATGTCTTTTTCTTTTCGCGCCTGATAATGACTTTGTAATGCCCACACTGAGGGGAGTAGCAAAAGGTATAAAGTCATCCATTTATATTTGACCCCTCCATAATAAATAGTAACTGCCGTTGAGGTAGTTTTAAAGTGATTTTAATTGTAGTCAATCCCGCAGTGACTTTTCATTTTTTTTTTNCAATCCCGCAGTGACTTTTTTTTTTTTTTTTTTTTTTTTTTTTCTTTTCTTCACAATTGGGGAAGGAACGTAAAATGATGATTATAATCACAATTTTCATGCATCGACTAAAAAACCAAGTTTAAACGGTTATTACCTCTAGTGTGAAGAGGACTTTTCTAACCGACCAAAGGCCAACTTTTTCCCCAACTTTTTAATTTCCCTCTGCTGAATAGTATGCATGTGTACCGATGACTAAAGTTAAAAAGCGCGTATCTCCGTCGCAATGTTTGAAAATATTTGATCATGCTGTGTTTTTTTTTATTAGAAATTATTTTTTTTAAAGGAACCCAACGAAAAATCTCTTTGAAATTTTTTCGGAGTATTTTTCAATGAAGTGAGAAAATTTACAAAAAATTTCAAGGAAAACTGACAGTTGGTTCTCTTTTTGAACAGTAAGTCGTGAGTGGAGCCTTGCAAATTTCCCAAAGATACGCATTTGGCGACTTTAATCTCCGATTTGTATTCTGCCGTACTAAGGAAGAACGCCGTATGAGCCTTCAGACGTTGCCAAGTTTCCTTCAGTAAAATGTTTATTTTTTAGGAAATTAATGAAATATTGAAATGAATATTTTTCCTTGAAATTTTCCGAAACTTCAGGTGAAATTGCGAACAGTATTATCTGAAAAACTGGAAGAAAAATATTCACAAGCTTAGGAGGAAATTCGCATTTTATCGAACGAAAGTTGGCAACGCCTGAAGGTTCATACGGTGCTCTTCCTTAGCGCGGCAGTAATGTTTCTTTTCTTAGTGTAAAGTGCCTCCCCTCAGTGTGCCTGAAACTTCTTCAACCTTCACGCCCGACCAAATATTTCAACTCATTTTCCCTTCCACTTTTTACTTTCTCGCTCCCGGCTTTCGGTAGAGAAAGTATTGCCATCTTGCAAGGGGGGAGGGGAGTTGAAATTTTATCATTTCTCGACGTTTTAAGGTCCCAGGGGTCAAAATAACCATACTTGAAAACATGTGTGTCCGTCCGTCAGGCGTCCCCCAAATCTGTCTACAGCGATATCTCAGAATCTATCTAGAGTCCCTTTATACCCAGAGTTAAGACAACTCACTTTTGGTTGGGCTGAAAGTGGCCTAAAAAAAATCCAATTCTGATTGGTTCTCGCTCATGGAGGCCGAAACGAGTGCACCAAGATGGCGGTACCTCGAATGTGAACAAGAATAATGAAAATATTACCTAAATGTGGTTCATCAAGAGTAAATTGTTATTTCCATCGGTCCAAAATGAAAATAGATTAAGAAATTATTTACAAACCAATCTCATTTTCTTTTTAATTGATCAATTTGTTGATGTTGTTGTTTTTGTTTGACAGACATCGCAGGATTCCTGGTCCTTATCCCTCAATATCGTTCGTTTGGGTGCACTCGTTTCGGCCTCCATGGCCAGCCAAGGCTGGCTGCCAGTCAGCTGATAATCGAGTTGTCTTAACTCTGGGTATAAAGGGACTCTAAATCTATCTGTTCGATTTCATTATGCACGTCAGACGATTTTGGGGTACGCTAAAATTTGGGGGGGGGGCTAGGGGTCAAGGTCTATTTTTGGCAAAATCCCACGGAAAGCTCATTCTGAAGGACTGTAAATTTTGAAAAATGCCTTTAATTTTTTTGATCGTGCAGGTGGACATCCGCAGCGAGGCCACTCGGCAAGGAAGGATCACTTCGAGACACAAGAAATTAGGGTAAAAACGCTGATCGTGAGTGCGACGCGGACCCTTCAGAACGGATTAGCACCCATCGACACGAAACCGCGGCAAAACGGTCACTCGGGGCACTACTTGACCAACTCGGATTGCGACTGCCACAGCCACCAGGAGCTGGATAAAAACGGCAATGACGTCTGAAAACCGCAGACGTCTGTCCACTTGTGAAGCGTTCTCGTGAAAAACGCACTCTTGGCTGTGAGCCACTCCTGGGCACAACTGAGCGTCGAGCTTCCCGGCTTCATCAGGACCGCAAATCCCTCAGGCAGAGGCGGGGATCGCCCATCGACGATCCCTAATTTATTCCGACTGTGATTTAGGTTGAATTTGACTTTGTTACCATTGTAGATATAGTTATTCGTTTGGTGCTTATGTTTCGTTATTTTACGCTAAACGTTCGCTTTTTACGTACCTTTGACTCTGGAGTTGTAACTATCATTGAGCGTTCACATGAAGGATTAGATTTTTTTTTTTTTTTTTCACTCAAAATTTCATGATTCAGTATGTAAAAAACATTCCAACTACCGACGATTTGAACTTTCCAAAATCAATGTTGGTTACTTCAACAGGACCTAAGAATATTCGTCCTCGATTTTGAATTTTCAACCAGAAAAAAAAGTCGGGCAAAGCTTCTACTTCCTTTTGGCGCGTATACGTAGTATACCGCCTTTGCGATCGTTTCGACCCCCCCCCCCCCCCCC